TTTTTATTAAGCACTGTGATTTAGTTTTATACCATGATACTGGTTCTTTGTGGAGAGATAATATCAATTATCTTGTTGAATGAATATTTGGTCATTTAAATTTCAACCACAATGGTGATGACTCCAGTATTATCCTCATATGATGTAGGGACCAATTTATTACATTTGTTAAAATGTTGATTGCATAGAAAAAAAAAGGTTTGCAATACTTTGGGAGAGGGTATCTTTGTCCATAAAAATGAAACTTCACTGCCCCACTTTTATGAAAGGTAAGAAATAATAACAATAACAAAAATAACTACAACTTAACAGATGCCAGATGAAAGGATTCTAATCCAGACCTCATCTAGTGCTTTATAGTTTCTGGAATTAAAAAGTAAAGTGTTTTAAAATAAAGGACATTTCAGCAGAAATATATAATATTTTTATATAGGTTAGCTGATCTTTTGAGCTTTGATATTAAAAAAAACATAGCTACATGAAAGTCTATGAATCTCTCCCTGAAGCCTGTAGTGATAATTTTCTCACGTAAAAGAAATTATTATTATTTGGGAACTGTACTATTTTATTCAGCTTTGTTTGGAATAGACAAATAATTGAATAATGATTAGCATTTAAAAAATTTAAAGGCAATTGGAATACAAATTACTTACTCCTTAAATAGAAATTGTAGCTTGTTTTGATTAAAAGACATGGCAAAAGGGGAGGGGGAAAGTTTTTGGCACCACACAAAGCTACCTTTTGTGTTTGTGCAAGGATGTTTCTCATCAAAGGGTAAGAGGCATCCTCCAGCTTCCCTGAAAGTCTTCTGTTCTAGTGCCACAGAGGAGTCATTTTTGATGTCCTAGAGGTTAAAAATACAGTGAATGCAGACCACTTAAAGGATAGAGATTGTCAGATTGGATAAAAATAAAGTTGCAACCATATCTACAAGAAACTCTAGATAGGTTAAATATACAAGAATGGGAAAAGATACACCCTGAAAACACTAGCCAAAAATTACTGACCATATTAGTATTGGAAAAGTAGACTTTAAAACAGGGAATATTGACAGGGATGCAGGGAAATATTACATAATGATAAAGGTCAACTTACCTAAAAGCCATACAATCCTAATTGTGAATGTACCTAACAAAAGAACCTCTAAGAACCGAAAGTAAAAACTCATAAAGCTGAAAGAAGAAATGGACAAATCCACTATAATAGTTGATAATAGTTGGAGATTTCAACACTCCTTTCATAGTAAAACATAGAACAGGTAAACAGAAATGCAGTAAGAATACAAGACCTGAATAAGACTACCACTCAACTTGACCTAGTGGATATTTATAGAGCAGCCCACCCAATAACAGCAGAATATACATTCTTTTCACATGTACATTAGACTTTCACCAAGATAAGCCATATTCTTAGGCCATAAAATTAACAATAAATTTAAATAATACCATATAAAATATATGTTCTCAGCATAGAGAAATTAAACTAGGAAACCAGTAACAGAAAGATATTTAGAAAATAACCACATATTTGGAAGGTAAGCACTATAGTATTTTTAAATAACCGTAAGTTAAAAGAAAAAAATTACAGGGTTAAATTAACTCCCTTTTGAATTAAATGAAACATTCAACATTCATTTAATGTTGAATTGAATGAAAATAAAGGCACAATATATCAAAATTGGTGGAATGCAGCTAAAGTATTGTTTAGAGAGAAATTTCTAGCATTAAATGCTTATGTTAAAAAGGAGAAAGGTCTAAAATCAATTGTGTAAGTTTCCATCTTAGAAAACTAGGGGAAAAAAAGAGCAAATTAAATCAAAAGCAAGCAGAAGAAAATAATCAATAGAAATCACAAAAATGATAGAAAAAAAACAATGAAATCAAAAGCTGATTGTTTGAAAAGATCAATAAAATCGACACAGCTCTAGCATGACTGACCAGTAAAAAGGAGAAAGGACATAGACTACAAATATCAGGGATAAGAGAGAGGAGATTGCTATTGTCAACAAAAGGATGAACAACTTTATGCTCATATATTTAACAACTTAGATGAAATGGAGAAATTCCTTGAAAGTTACAAATTACCAAAGCTCATTCAAGATGAAAAAAATAATCAAATAGCCCTATATTAATTGAAGAAATTGAATTCATAGTTGTAAACATTCCAACAACAATAAAAAACTTCCAGGCTCAGGTGGCTTAGCCAAACATGTTCTGCCAAACATGTAAGGAATAAATAATACCAAGTCCACACAAACTCTGGAGAAGGAGGGAATACTTCCAATTTAGGTCGGCATTGCCTCAATGTCAACACCATTGCAAGAAAACAACAGATCAATGTTCCTCATGAATATAGATGCAGAAATCCCCAACAAAATATTAACAGTCATTCTGAGCTAATTTTTTTTCTATTAGTACTATTAATCCCATTTAAAAAACGGATTATTTTGATTATAACACCATGTACTAAAACCTTAACAATCAGAACACAACTAACTATAATTGTCATTCACATGAATGGGAAGCCATGACAGATTGCTAGTAACTAAAGGAGACTCTGATGGTGATTCAGTGAATCCATTTAAGACATATTTCTTCTTGTCTCCTGGTGGTACATAAGCAAGGAAGCCGAATGTATGCCTTATTACCTTATAAGGAGGTACCCTCTCTTCTAATGCTCTTCCTGGATAAGAGAAACTTGCCTTTCCTTTTCAGGGTATATGTATCCCCATGTTTGCCCCGGAGAGTTTTATTTGCATTTATTAGTAGTGGTACTGGCAAAAACAAGTCTGTTTCTTTGGGATTTGAGAATTCTGAGATGTTAGCTGTGGACACTATAAGTGGCTGCCCCAGGGACCTGGGTTCTACTACAGGGACTCCATTTGTTGATTACTCATGTCTTTCAAGGCCATGTAAACACTTTAGAGGTCAGCTTGAGAGTCACTCAGGCCTCATTTCTAAAGGTCCCTGATGAATTTGATGTTCAGTTTGGGGATAGTTGATTCCTTCAGCATTTCCCCAGCTCTTTGTTTTTACAAAAGTGATGCATTCTCTCTTAATCGAAACTCCACAATTACCAAGTGACTGTGGACTGCATATTGTATTTAGAGGTGGTTGGATTTCATGGTGGTCAAACATTAAGGAGGTCCTGGGATTAGACCCTGGCCCCCACACACAAACCCCACAGAATCCTGCCTCTGCCACTTACTAGCTGTGTGTGTAGGTTGTGAGTCTGGAGGGGGCTGCCCTGCCCGAAGAGCTGAGAGCACACCAGAGTGTCTGCAGCACAGTGAGGAGGGGAGTTGGGGCTACATGACCAGGGGCTCGATGGGCCATGCAAAGGATTTTGGATTTCATTCTCAGTGTAGCCGGCAGCTGCTGAAGGGTTTAAATGGGAGCTGTGATGTCATCAGGGGGACATTTTCACCCAACCCATCCGGCCTTGATCTGGAAAGTGGATGGGTAGAGGGCAAAATGTCTGTAGGGGGCCTTTGAGGAAGCTATGACCATGCACATGCTGCATGCCACGTACTACATCAGTTGGAATCCCTTTCAGATGGGAGCCTGTTCACTTCCAGAGCTACCGTGCAAAGTGAGCAATTCTTCTCATAGGCAGACTTCTGCCAACTCTTTTGAGCTGTGTGTTCGATGCTCTTCCACTCAAGTCCATGCCACTCGTATGTGGCTTTGCCCATTACCCCAGTAAAGTGGCCAGCCACCAGTGTGACATTGTTTTGAACTTTTTTATTCTATCTCAATATTTCAAGTGATTTTGCACTCTACTCTATTATAGCAGTGTTTGATATAATAGAAAAACCATGTTCCTCTAAATCTATTATCTATTCTGATTTTACAGGTGGGAAATCCAAGGCTTAGAGAGGTCAGGTACTTTGCCCAAGGTCACATAGTAGTGGATGACACCGGGTTTGAAATACAGGCTGTCTGTTTGCCTAGTCTTTGCTCTTTCTAAGTCCCCTACTATGCCCCAGTGCCTTGGGCACTGCCCAGCAGGTGCTCAGGAATATGTGTTGGATGATATATTTTTGGGCAGTCTGACATCCGGTGTTAGGAACCCAACTCTAGACACTTGACCTACCTGAGTTGGGTTCTGGGAAGCTGAACACAATCCATGCTCCCAGGCATCCTGCATACACAGAAGAGCTGGACTCTTCCTTCCTCCTGGGTGCCTTCTGCACTTTGTAATGCTACCCTACTGCCCGCCTAGTCATTGTGGTGTGCTCTTCTGTTTGTCCTGCTGCATTGTGATCTCTGGAGGACAGGTCCTGGGTCCAGTTCAACTCCTCATTTACAAGGCCTGGCCTGAATAGTACATGTTAAGCGTGACCAACTGAACTGTGGGGCTGTAGAAGTTGGCAGGAGTTTTCAGTCAGAGAATGTTAAGGCAGGGGTCCTCCATCTGCCTTGCTCAAAGCCAGGATCCATCCTTGAACATGAGTGAGAGCTCAGATACAGGTAGAGCTAAGAGGACTTAGCTCTCAAGGGAGCCAGCCAGTCCTTAGAGCTGTACTGCCCTTGGGTATCTTGAGGTAATCATCAAACCCCATGGACAAGGAGGCACCACAGAGCTTTCTGAACTCAGCAGCAGGAAGCTTGGTGGTACAGGAGCTGTGTGGCAAGAAGGAGGGAAGTGGAAGGATCAGTTCTGTTTTGGTGGTGGTAATTTTCTGCATATAGTTTGCCATCAAGTGTAATAGTTCATGAATAGCTGGATATAGAGATCTGACGAGAGGGAGGGTGGGGGCTGAAGGTGCAAATCTGGGCGTCATTCTCTGTCACTCACACCCCCACACTTTCCTGCCACCTGGGACAGCCCAGGCTGTTTTTTTTGCGCTGTTGGAGGTGAGGTCTGTATCCCAAATGAAATGGATTCTGTTCACTAACCTTTCCAGTGGCAATTCTATAATTGTTCCCATCCTCTCTGTGTTTTTACCATCTGTTGAGTCAATTTAATTAATTTTATATGTTGTTTCTTTATTTCAGAAAAACTGTACAACTCCAGTGGACGAGATTTAAGAAGGGCCCTTTTCTCCTTGAAACAGATATTCCAGGTAAAAAAAGAAAACAAGTGCTCTTAGATTCTGTTTTTGTATTGCGTGTGGAATGAGAAACAGACAAGTATATACCTTTTATTGATTACAGAAAAGTCTCGTCAGATTACAGTGTAAAGTAGGTCAAAATGTCAGCTGAGAGTATTTTTACCATATCAAATATTTCAAACGTAAGTAAAGACAACTTTAAAAAATCATAGTATTTTTCCATATTTACTTCAGATTTTTAAAAAGAAAAACCTACTACAGATTAACTGAAGTCTCGTGTGCTGCCTCCCAATGTCAACCATCTTCTCCCCACCCCACCCTCAGTTTCCCTCTCTACTAATTGTTGAATTTGGTGTTTATCATGTAATGTGTGTTTCCTTACTAATGGTGAATATTTACCAACAATATGTTATAGTCTTTTGTATTAACTTCATATGTATATATTATCATGCTGCATGTATCAGGCTTCAGCGTACTTAATGGGAGTGGGATAGATGTAGGCATCACTGGCATAGCCCTGAGTGAATATTTCATTGTATGAATGAAGCACAGGTTGCTTTGTTCATTCTCCTGTTGGCAGATAGTTTGGTTTATTTCCAGTGTTTTGCTGTTATAAACCGTGCTGCTGGACATGTTCCCCTGTGCATATGTGCAGGTGTCTCTTTTGGGTTTCATCTATCTTTCTCTCCCAAGCCTTCTCTCTGTCCCTGTTCTGAGAAAGTCATGAGCTTAGTGTAGAGGGCTAAGACAGGTGTGCAGATGGTCTCCCAGACTATCACCCACATGAGACTGCACAGGACAGAGACAAAGCCAGGGAAGGAGGACAAGGCTGCTGTGCCTGGGCAGGATCAGGTGATGGCTTCATGGAGAAGATGACATTCGCATGGAGCCTGTGTCCGTGTGGGTTCATATTTCTTTACCTTATGATTTTAAACTCTAGGGTACATTCCATTTTTTTTTAAGTTTCCACCTTATCCACATCCTTAAAAGATTTCTTTGTCAGTAATAGTTCTAGCCAGAGTGGCAGTCTCCTTCGTGGGTATCTTCCTATCTGAGAGGGAGCAGGCAGAAAAGGCAGGCTAACAGTCCATCCCATCTGCACGCTGTACTTCCATGCTTCCTTAAACTTGTTCAGTCATGCCCTCATGTTTTTCCCAGAGCAGAGTCCCTTCGCTGTAGACACATTTCTGGAGATGAGTTGAGTCTTCTTTTCTCTTCTTCCTTTTCTCTTCCTCGGATAGCTACAGGTGTAAACCTGTCACTTCACTGCGCTCAGGGTGCACATCTCAGAAATGGCCTGGGGTTTGGGGTCTGCCTAGGTTCAGGCCATCTCTTCTGGAGAGATGAAAACAGCTATTCATGGGCACTGCCTGCTTTTGGTCCTCCCCAACCCAATCCATTCCCCAGCTTCCCACCAGAGGGGTTTGAGGATGACATCCTTTTGCTGGTTCCACGTAGCCTTCTGGGTTACATCTGGATTTCTCGATATAACACTGATGCCCTTCTGGATCTGTCTTCTGTGCACACCTCGTTGTCTTTGGCTGAATCTTAAGTTCCACCCATGATGGCATTCTGGGAGCAATCTGTGCCCCCTCTTTTCTATACCTTTGCCCCTAGACCTATTGCTTCTACCCCAGAATGCGTTGCCACCCCATATCTACTCTCCGTATCCCTCAGTTTCCCTCCTTGTATCTCCTCCTGCCAGAGAGGCTCTCCCTAAAGTAAATGACCCCTCACTGCAGTCAGGGTCCCTCCAAATACCTCTGACGTCCTCTGTGCTTATCTCTAGTATAGAACTTAAGATACTTCAGGACACTTGTCTGAGTCTAGTCTGGGAGCTCCCTGGGTTCCATCACTGGCTTTTTAGGGCCTCACATAATGTCTGGTGCCAGTTAAGCAATAGATGAATGGACTGGGTGAACTGAGTAGTCTTTTAGCAGATTTTGTCTTCAGTCTTCCTTGTCTCTAATTTAGTAAATGCTTCACTGACTGTCCCAAAGTTCCACTTCCCATGTATCTATCTGTGTCTCTCTGTTCCTTAGCCGAGCAAAGCAAACCTTCTTCACTCTCCATTATGCCCTTCTCTGGAACCCAGATCTCCAACTGCAGTGGGGCTGGACTGTTCCTGCCCCACCAGAGGGCCATGCCCATTCCTCTCCTCACCCTAACTCAGTTAGTCCCTCCGTCCTCCTGCTGTTTTTATTGTTCAGCTTTGGCTTGTTTCAAAACCTGTGTTTGCCTTGTTGGTGGTATCCAGTCGGTGGAAGAACCACACAGAGAAGAGCTATTCTAAGTGACTGTAAAACACTGTAATTTGTGCATCTTGAGTAAGATGTACCCTAAGGACAAAAAGAACCAAACACACACACAAAATCAACTGTTTACAGTAATCATATTGGTGGTGGTAGTGTTGGTATTGCTATTCTGAGACTGGAGTGTGTATGTACATCATATCCCAATTTTGTCATTCTTAGAGTTCTTAGGGATTAGGATTCTTGGCGTGTTGGAGAAAGAAGATAGAAAGGCAGAAGAAGTTAAAAACTCTTTATTCTTGAATTGGAAGAAACAGACTGAACCCATGATGGATATTATTTTAACAAACAAACAAGCAAATGAGCATATTTATAGCTCTATTTATGGAAAAGACTAGAAGCAATGATCAACCCATTAGTGAAAAACACAACTAATGCCAAGTTTGTGGTCTTAAAATACTGAAAGGAACCAGAGCTATTTGGAATAGCTGATTCCAAGTCTGGAGTAGGAAATGGGTAAAATAAACTTGGAACATCTTATATAGATAGCAAGGAAGCTATCAAATACTTCTAGGATTATTGCCAAAATAACTCTGAAGCATGTTGAAGAGTCTCTCACTGGCTGGCCAAAGATAGGACGATAAAAGTAAGCCTCAATAAGGATGATAATTACAAATGAATTAAAACCCATTAAGTAAATTTGCAGTGATGAGTTGATATTGATACTAGAAAAAAAACCTAATGGATTTGTCACCATTGGAAGATACTAGCAAACCAGGTCACTATTTTGAAATTGGGTACAGTTTTAGAATCTCATATTTATCTTGCCTTTTCCTATATGAATTTTAAGATAAACAGTAGTTGAGGGGAAGTGTTGTTTATAAAAATATTCTAGCTAATGAGTGAGAAGGAATGATACAATTAGAATATCATGATTTTGCCACCCCTAATGAATTAATGGATGTAGGTGTTGAGCATCTAGCCCTGCTGATGTGAAGGAAATGAGATACAACCAGGTATTATGTGCTACCTCGTGGACACTGCCATCAATGATGTGGTCAAGCCAACAAAATCAATCCTGGATCTGATCATGCCTCTATATGCAGTAACCAATTTATAAATGATCTAGGACTTAGGCACATGTGAATTGACACCACAGGAGTGTAATCAGTAAGACCTGGACTGTGGGCTGCTCTGTAGGACAAATGATCTGGTTTCTTCAACATATAAATTTCGAGGGAAAAAAAAAGAAATGAATTAAAAGACATGTAAAAGTTATATCAACTAATTGCCATGTGGATCTTGTTTGGATCCTAACACAAATTGTAAAAAACAGTATTTACAGTACAGTTAGAAATTTGGTCACTGACTGGACATTTGATAACATAAGAAAGTATTAATTTTTTTTATTATGAGGACATAATTTTAAAAAGAGTTCATATTTTGGAGATACATATTGAAATACTTATGGATTAAATGATGTGATGTCTGGGATTTGCTTCAAATGAGTATGACAGCAGACAGGGTAGGATGATAGGTGAAAGAGAATTGACATGAGTTGATTGGCACCAGGGGTTCACTGAATTATTCTGTCTCCTTTTGTATATATTTAAAGTTTTCCTTGGTGGCCGGCCGAGTGGCACATTGGTTAAGAGCTGGCTTGGGATGCCAGAGGGCCCCGGTTCGGATCCCACATATGAGGGCCAGTGACACTGCCCTCTACAGCTAAGATGCTGAANCCAGAGGGCCCCGGTTCGGATCCCACATATGAGGGCCAGTGACACTGCCCTCTACAGCTAAGATGCTGAACAACAGCTCATCCTGGAGCTGAGCTGTCGTGAGTCGCCAGCGCTGGCGTGGGCTGCAGCCCCTGCTGCAGTGGGTTGCCATGGGCTACTGCGTGTAGCCAGCAGCCAGCGTGAGTGGCCAGCAGCCGCTGTGAGCAGCCATCCAGAAGCTGGCAACTGATCTGCCTCACCCGGGAAGAGCGCAATGATGGTGCCAACTTGGGCCAGTGAAGCGATGTCCTCCACAAGTAGACTGAAGAACAAAATGACAGCAACTTGTCTGTTCCCCTTCCCCCAATTCCCCAGTGCTGTTCCCATCCCCAATTCCCCAATAAAAATCTTTAGAAAAAACCAAACAGTTTTCCTTGGTGAAAAAGTTAAAAAAATAAAACAAAGTAAACATGTTTAGGTCCTGTTTTCCATCCCCTCACCAAACCTGTTCTGTAGTGTTGGCTCTCTGAATTCTCAGGGACACTATTTCTACTATTTATTCATCAAACAAATATTTTTGAGCAGCAGCCTTCGACAGCACTATATAGGCAAGGAAGAAGGTGTTTGCTATCAGAAGTTTATAACCTGTTTGGAAGACCACCCACGTGTGCACAAAACAGCTGTAAAGCACAGAGCAAGGATACATTGAGAATTGAATGGATTGCACAAGCTGCAAGCTGTCTGGGACCTCGATCACCTTTCACACCCATGAGGCTGCCTTTCCATCATCTCTTGTGTTTTCTAGATGTGGAGGTTCTCTTTGGAACTAGGCTTGTAAGAGGAAAAAAAAAATAACGAGAGCCATTGGTCATTTGGATCAAGTTGAATATTCCTTGACTAATAGGCATTTCAAAAATGATCACAGGCTAATGTATGGCTATTATAGAAAATTCTGAAATGCAGCGATAATCACCAGTTAGTGTTAGCATTTTGATGTCATTCTAGTCGGAAACCAATGTATCAAAAACCACTTATTAGTGCCTATATATTTTAGGAAATGTGTTTAAAATCTAATACATTGCCAATTTGGAAGGTACTGTTCACATTTATCATCCATACATTTCTATTTCCTAAGTGCCTTATCTACTATGTGCATTCATTTTAGTTAGGGTTCTGAATTATTTTTATAAACACTGTGTCCTCTGTCCGATGTGTTTTCCAGCTCTCTTTGCCAGACACTCAAGTCTATGCTATATTAATATTAGTGATTAGCTTGAGTGGTTTCTTGAGAGCTTGTTCTCACTTTTTCACCATGAAGTCATGTGTGAATCCAGTTTTAGTTAAAGTAATAAACATTTGTTACATGCTTGGAAAAACTTTCTGACTAGACATGAGCTCATCTAAATGTTCACTTTTCACATATGCTGGTGGAAAAGGATATGGATGGAGAGAGAATTATTTTTTATTTCCTTTATACATGTGAGTGTAAAGTAATTTTCCAAAAACTCATGATATTGTCCCATTTTCTCTTGCTTTCCAAAGCCATGATTATCTTAAAGTCTGAGTTAACACAGCTGTCTCTCATTACCTTCAGGGCACAAGCGTCTCTCCCCCCTCCCCCCAGTGCCCTCTCAACATTGAGAGCGCTTTCTTGGTTCACAGGGAGGCTTTGCCTGGCCTGCCCACATTTTAGCTCAAGTGCTCCATCCATATAATTGGAAAATGCCATAAAAATCAAAATGAGGGGCTGATTTCACATAGAGACTAGAGGATTATGCCAGTGCATCTAAATTATTTTTTTCTTTTTTGGAGATAAACCATAGTTGCTGACCATTCCTATAAGAATAACCTTTCATTATTCCATTAAGCTTTCTACTAATTTACATCACTGAGGGTTTTTTAATTTAATTTAATTTTTTCTTTTTTTTTTGCTTTGTTGTTATAATTGAGGAGGAATGTTCCAGCCTTATCCTAGTTGCATTTTAGACAAGGCACTGTCCAATTGAGCAAAATCTCCAGAAATAGTCGTGGAAAAATCCCTCTCCTAGAGCTCCACAGAAGTGGCTACCGCAGGGAAATGACTGGGTTTGGGGGCTGGCTGGACATTAGGTGATGTTGGTCAATGTTTTGCCATTCTAGAGTCTTTATCTGTAAAGAGAAGATAGGGTTAGATCAGTGGTTCTTGAGCTGGCTGGTCTTTAGGATTTCCTGGGGAATTTAATAGCAAAGGTTGGACCTCACCCCCAGAAATTCTGGTTAAATCCACCCGGAGAAGCTCCTGCTTCTTATTCCTTTTTGAAGCTCCCAGATGATCCTAGCATGAAGGTGTCCATCTTGAGACCCATCTGAGCACCTCTGAGTCACCTGGAGGGCTTGGTGAGCACAGGTCACTGGGCCCCACAGTAGAGTTTCCTATCCTTTAAGTCAGGGGTGGGGTGGGGTAGTGTAGCTGGCATTTTTAATAAGTTTCCAGGTGACGCTTTTGCTGCCCATGGGTCTGGAGACTTCTCTTTGCGAACTGCCAAGTAGGTGACCCCTGAGGTTCCTTCCGTGTCCTGCCTTCTGTGATCAAGTCTGCAGGCCGACCAAAGTGGCTCTTTTGAGGGGCGTTTTGGCTGTCCCTGAGACACAGCTGGCCACTTCTCCTCTCTGCCTCCTGCTGGTCTGGCAAGCAACACAAGTCAGGAGGTGGAGAGACTGCTTCCTTGTTTCCTGATCCCATTTGTAAGGCCTCTGGAAGCACCATTCTTAAAGACTGTCTTTTGGAACCCGAGTGGCTTTGAATCCTTTCCTTGATGGTCTGCGCTGCTATTGAGTGTTTCCTGTTGTTAAACCCAGTAAGTTTCATGTGGCCAGTCCCTAGAGACCTGTGGAGAAGCGGAGCCTGGTGATTATTGAAGAATGAAAAACAGAACACTGTAAATATTCCTGATAGGGGATTCGTTTGCTTTATCTTTATTAGATTGCCCAGAAGGCAATAATTGGTCTTTGGCAAACAACAATGTGAAGACTGGTTGTAAAATTCCTCTGGCAACAGTTAAAATGCTTCATTTGAATAAAGCAGTACAATCTTTAGGGTTTGGTCTGGCTTCAAAGGCTTGTACATAGTTTTAACAGCATAGCCTGGATGGAGGATGGACCGGGACAATATTTGAAGTCTTTCTTTTTTTCCCCTCCCCTTTCCTGCCAGGATGACAAGGACTTGGTCCATGAATTTGTAGTGGCTGAAGGTCTGACCTGTTTGATCAAGGTGGGAGCGGAGGCAGACCAGAATTATCAGAACTACATCCTGAGGGGTAAGTTGTGACGGGCCATTGCAGCGGCCAGCCCCGGCTACAAGACAGGTCTGGGGCCCCCTCCTGGGACATCAATACTGAGAGCTTTTGAAAAGACTTGGATTAAGGCATAAGGTGATGAAACCATCTTGTAGCAAAAGATGGCACCTGCATCAGGTTTTATCAGTTTTCAGTAATTTGTGACTGAGCTAATTTTACTGACTCATGTAAAATCTCTTTTGTTTATTAAGAAAACAAAGTGTACTATGCACTAGGTTCTTAATAATGTCTTTTATTTGCTGAGGAAGGGGACACATTAAATGGCATTGGGTAAAGCCTGCCTTTCAGCAAAAGCCACCCCAAACCAAAGAGGCCAATTCATTTCCCGGGAAAAGTATTTTCTCCAACTTTGAGTTATCACCAGGAGTGCTTGTCAGAAGAGCATATTCCTCACCAGGTCCCCCTGTTCCTGACCGGGTAGCTCTGGGGTGTACCCAGGAATACGCATTATAAAGAATGATTCTGTTATCTACCTCTAAAATTTTCTTTTTTATAAAGTAATGCACATGTGACGTTTTAAGCACAGATTACTGTTCCAGTTTATAAAGTTAATGCTCTTTTCCTAGTTATAGTTTTTTGTGCATCTTTATGTAAATACTAATTTTATTTGATCCTGTAAAAAAAAACAACCTGTGAAAAACATGGCAGGAATTATTAAGTTGGACCATATGAAATTGCTGCCATCAATAGTCTTTACCTATAAAAGGAGAAATTTAATATAGTTTAATATTGTCTCCATTTTTGCAGCTGAAAAGTTTGAGACTCAAAGAAAGAGGTGGAGCATTTGCCTAATAGAGGCACTTGCTCTAACGTGTGGTCCTGCAGGGGCTGTACCGAGGCCCTGGGGCACATCGAGGCTCGTGAAGGTTCTGCACGTGTGCCTGTAACCCCACAACTCCGTGTTCTGTGTTCATCATACAAGAAAAAAACAACAACTCTCCTTTTCCTTTGGATGAAGGAAAAATACATGAAACGTGTGATTTAATGTCAAGTGCCTATGGTTAGTTGAATGAGACAGGCAAAATGAAACAGTCTCCTACAGTTCCTGTTGTGTTTTACTCTGAGAAGGTGCCTCATATTCTGTGTTGCTACCCAGTGCATTGAACTCTGAGCCTTTCTCCCTTTCCCCTGCTCCTGGAGAGCCACTGTACCAGAAGGCAAAAGTGAAACAGAAAACTTAGGGCTCATTTAAAAACAATTTTTTTAAGGACATAATTTCAAGTCAGTGTTAGCTTTTTCCATTCATTTTGATAAATGCTGAATATGTATGTGTGAGAGAGTTTCCTAGTTTCTTTTATTTTTTAGTCCATGATTTTTTAAAAAAAAGATTTTATTTGGGAATTGGGGGAGGGGAACAGTATTGGGGAATTGGGGAAGGGGAACAGCCAAGTTGTTGTCCTTCAATTTTAGTTGTGGAGGGCACAGCAAGCTCAGCTCCAAGGCCAGTCTCGCCGCTCAGTTCAAGGTGCTGTGTTCAATCTTAGTTGCAGGTGGGCGTAGCCAGCATCCCATGTGGGAGTCAAACTGGCAGCCTTGTTGTTAAGAGCGCGCACTCTATACCCTGAGCCACCTGAGTGGCCGCTCAGCTGAAGGTGCTGAGTTCAGTCTTTAGTTGTGTGTGGGCATAGTCCACCATCCCATGTGGGAGTCGAACAGGCAACCTTGTTGTTAGGAGCACGTGCTCTCACCAGCTGAGCCATCCTGCCACCTGTTGTCAGCTCAGCGGCAGCTCAGCTCAGACGCAGCTCACTGGCCCATGTGGGAATTGAGCTGGTAATCCTGTTGCCCAGAGCTCACACTCTTGAGCAAGCTCTTAACCAACTGAACCACTCGGCTGGCCCCTAGTCCATGATGTTTGATGAGGTCTCCCTTTGTCAACCTTCAGCTTTTTCCTGGGCATATGGTAGATCCACATTACAGGTTGTCAGTAGAGAGACTCTATTAATGAATTTTATGATTTCTATTCTCAATATAATTTAAAAATTTATATAGAAACTTTTGTGGTATGTGTAGACAAATCAACCATAAACTTTGTCCTGCCATGCTGCCTCCAAATGCAGCTGTCTTCCTGTGTCTGAAGTGATGGTGCAGGCCTTGATTCTCATCCTTATATTCCATTCATACTGGTCCAACACTTCAAATAGGGAAGGCACAGAAATCGGCATGGGAGACCTTCCTTTGGTTTATTTTCCAGGTCGCTTATAATATGGATGTTCATAAATTGAACCACATGGAAGGAAATATGCCTTAGGTGGCCTAATTCTGAATAGTGGGTCCAAACTAACAACATACATTTTTTGTTATGTTTAAAGTATGTATCATTTTAACTTTACAAAAAGAAGTCTTCTCCAGTGAGTGTGCACATTAAAGTGCGCACACACACACACACACACACACACACACACTTCTATAGAATTACTATTATAACCATCTATGTGTTTATCTTTAGTCTCTCAACCTTTATGAGTGTATATGTGCATTTTTATGGAGTAATCGTGAGTGTAAACAGCTACATTCAAGGCTGGGAAGAGTGGGAGGACCCTCCCAGCTGTAGTCAGCTCCCTTTTATCAGGAAGGTAAAATTCTTGTCAGAAACCCCCTGCATACTCCCTGTGGATCAGAACTGGGTCTCATGACCACTGTAGCTGCAAGGGAGGCTGGCAGAGTGAGTATAGTAAGTCCTCACATAACATCATCAATAGGTTCTTGGGACTGTGGTGAAATGATGTATAACGAAACCAGTTGTACCATAGGCTGATTGATATAAACATGAACATTATAACAAAACAACTTTGAAGAAAAGAATTTTATTCAAGGTCCTGCTGTGTTTGGTTTCCTAGACTCTAAGGCAGCGGTTCTCAACCTTCCTAATGCCGCGACCCCTTAATACAGTTCCACATGTTGTGGTGACCCCCAACCATAAAATTATTTTCGTTGCTTCTCTATAACTGTCATTTTGCTACTGTTATGAATCGTCATGTAAATATCTTTTTGTTTTCCGATGGTCTTAGGCGACCCCTGTGAAAGGGTCGTTCGACCCCCAAAGGGGTCGCGACCCACAGGTTGAGAACCACTGCTCTAAGGGGAGGCAGCAAGAGAGAAATGCATGGCTTTGGACTCGAGGGAGTTAGAAAGAAAAAGCTCAGCCCAGTTGAGAAAGCCTAGTGAACACCTATGCGGTGGCCCTGTTGGAGGTAAGTAGGGCCCCTGCTGCTGAAGGAATGGTTGTGCAGGGGCCAGAATAAGCTTGATGGCCGCACAAGATCCCAAATGGCAAAGGGTGTGACTTGTCCTTTCTGGAAATGAAAGATGGTATTGACCTAAAATACTTCAGCGACGTACTCCACCTTAGTGAATGCTTATTGTTTGGCTTACACAGGCTTATTAATTTGCAGTGTTCTGATCTGTAGCAGAAAGGTGCAAAAGCAGTTACCAAGTGTTTAAGAATCAGAATGCCCAAGCACAACCAGGGGAGAGCCCTGTCAATCACCTGCCGGTCTTCTCTCTGTGTAGAAAATACCCCCCGAGGTAAGACCCTCACTATAGACAGCTCTTCCTAACATGTGAGGAGAATCCACACTTCCACTGCCATCACCTGGGCCTTGACTTCAGATTTTGCTTTTCCACTAGTGTCCATTTGTTGGGAGGCCAGAAGGCTTACCATGTGTTACCTGGAAAACGAGGTAGTGCTTAAGCTCATTTAGGTTACGACCGGGCGTCCTCCTTTCCACATATGGAGGTGCCTTTGCATGCCTGCCCTACTTCAGCTAAATCCCAGAAGACTCGGGGGAACCAGGGCACTATGTGTAAACACCAGCACATTTTGATGTGTTTAACTGAAACCCATTCCCGGAAAGTACCTTCTGAGGGCTGTAAATGATAGATTTTTGGGGGTATGACTTTTGTGTTTTTATACAAGGAAACCATCATTTTTCCTACCCCACATGTTGAATCACCCCTTCCTGACTCTGAAAAACTTATCACGTAGGCTTTTTTAGGTTGCGATCAGCTGCTGGTGGCCGGTTGACATTTGCAATCAAGGACAACCTTTGAATTGCCTCTTTATTTTTCCAACCGTAGTTTAACCATATTACCTTGGGTGAGGTATGGTGAGGCCAGATACAGATCAAGAGAGAGAAACTGGGAAGAGTTTTAGTTTCGTAACTCCCAGTTTCCTGGAGGAAAACACAGCATGCTACCCCAGGACTGCTGAGAGCCAACACAGGGTCCTCACGAGGCAACACCTTTGTTGTGGTTTCCATGGGAGAAGCAGGTTTGAGATAGTAAGTTTGAGTAATTTCAGTGGGTCCTAGAGTATAGGGCTGTCTGTGGTTGTCTGTTACCTGGCCTTGCGTGATTAGGGTTCGAATGTCATAGCCAGGAGTGTGAGTGCCCAACATGGCTGGTGTGGACTTGATGAGCTGCTGGAGAAGGGTAACTGACGGACCTCTAGCCAGAGCCTCAATGTTGGATCAAGATGGTATTTAAAAAAACTATATTATATACTTAGTAAGAAATAAAGCAGGCATCTCTGAATGTTGCCAACCAAAACCAAAACAAAACAAACACCCCAAAAATACAACAAAACTTTATTACGAACTGTAACACGGGTGGGTTGTCACAGTGCTGTGGAGAAGTGTGCCCTCATGAAGTTACCTCAGGAGTTCCACTCTGTGTGCAAGTCCCCAGGTCCAAAGGAAACAAGTGCTTTTGGAGAACCCTGTGCTTTCCACATCTGCTTTTGGAACTCGTCTAATTTAGCTTTACTTTTGCACTCAGCCCTCTGTCAGCTCTTCTTTTAAGGCCCAGGAATCTGTTGCTTTTAGTAGAGACTGTATCTGCTGAGAGGTAAAGATCGGTTTTGAGTTACGGTGTAGCCAAGTGCTCTCCAAAAATGTGAGCCGGCTGCTGGAAAGAGGTCTGAAATGTACAACATGCAGAAATAATATTTATCTGGCTTA